TTTATTATTTTTTATAAGCAAACTCAAAGTGGTGAACATACTTATTGATCCTTCCTCCTCCTATTTTCCCCACAACAACCCTGTGAGGTGGGTTCGGCTGAGCAAGAGGGACTGGCCCAAAGTCCCCCAGCTGCCTTTTCTGCCTAAGGCAGAACTAGAACTCCTAATCGCCTAGTTCCCACCCTGCGCCTTAACCACTAAACCAAACTGATGTTTTATTTGTGCAGTGGTGCAAACATTCTATAATAATCTATTAGTCATCCTCTGTACCCATTTTACAGTTTGGCTCTTACTTTTCCTGAGACCATAGTTTCCCTGAGATCATCCAAGATGGGGGAGCAGTTTGAACTCCCCAAATCTCCACCCACCTCCAATCTATTCCAAGGGATTTAAAATCAGAAAACCCTCAGAGCCTTGGAACAATACACTTTAGGCATGCCCTGGAGACCCTGTCCTTTTCTTCTAGGTGTGGCAAGCCCAGCCTTACCCCTTTCCCCCCCAAACCCAGGAAAGAAACCCCAACTTGTGGGCCACGGAGGGTGGACGCGTAAGGCAGAGAAGGCTGCCTTAATTGAGCGCCCATCCGGCTCCTTTCGCCGCCTCTCCGCGGTGCCAAAAGATCGCGCGCCCTGGGCCGCGTCGCAAATGAAGTCGCCAAAATGTGGCCAACTTTGGAGGCGCCCGCAGCTCTTTCTTGGGGAGAGGAGGAGAGGGGAGTGGGCTGGGGTGAGAAAGAGGGTGCTCCCCAACCGACCCAGCTCGGCCTCCCATCCCAGCTCCCCAGAAAGAGCCCCAACGGATGGCCCCCGCAGCCGCCTGCGTCCCTGCCCGCACTCGGAGAGCCCATAGCCTACGGGCGCAGCAGCAGAGCTCCGCGTCCGCGTCTGGCCAGCTAGCTCTGAGCCCCGAGCTGGGCAGGCAGGCAAGCAAGCGGCGCAAGCCGGCCCCCACCGACTGGCTTGCGCCGCCTCCAAGGGGGCGGCGGCTCTGTGGCCGTTATAAAGGCGGGCGAGGCTCCTCGGCAGGACAGAGTCGAGCTGACCCTTCTGGCTTGAGCGCATCTCCTCCTCCTGCAGCTTCCCACCCGGTTCTTAGAGGGCTCCTTCGTTGCTGCTGCTGCTCCAATCCTCCCGATGCGCCTGGCGGAGATGATCAAGAAAATGGGTCCCTGCGAGGTGGAGTTGAACATCCCGCCCAAGAACTGCTACCGGATGGTGGTGCTGGGCTCGTCCAAGGTGGGCAAGACGGCCATCGTCTCCCGCTTCCTCAGCGGCCACTTCGAGGACCAGTACACGCCCACCATCGAGGACTTCCACCGCAAACTCTACAGCATCCGCGGGGAGGTCTACCAGCTGGATATCCTGGACACGTCGGGAAATCATCCCTTCCCGGCCATGCGGCGCCTCTCCATCCTCACCGGTGAGACGTGTGTGTGTGTGTCTGCGCGGGGAGGTCTGGAGGCAGTCCGGGGAAGGGGCTGTCCTTTGGGTTCTGCTCCGCGAACCAGGCTGAACGGGACTGAGAGAGAGACAGAGAGAGAGAGACAGAGAGAGTGAAAGACGGAAAGAGAGACACACAGAGAGACAGAGAGAGGGGAAAGAGAGAAAAAGAGAAAAAGATGGAAAGAGAGGAAGAGATGGAAATAGGGAGAGAAAGAAAGACACAGAAGGAAGAGTTAGAGATGGAAAGAGAAGGAGAGAAAGAAAGC